TGTATATATACACATGTGTGTGTACATATATATTTGTGTGTGTGTACATATATATTTGTGTGTGTGTATATATATATATATATATATATATATATTTATACACATGTACATACACACATACATACACACAACTTCAAAATAACATAAATTCTCAACCTGTACTGAAAACAGTTTCTGCGTCTCAGCGCCACCAGCTGGTGAGAGGTGGTGACGTCAATTTGAACCCCGCCCACTGGAACCGGTACTGAAAGCATAATGGAAACACAACTTGTACTGTACCGAGTAGAGTAGAGCCGTGCTGTACCGGCCCGTACCGGTCCTAATGGAAAAGGGGCATAAGAGTACACACTAGCAGTAGCAATAATGACCATCAGGGTGTCCCATAATTAAAAAACAGGTTTTACTTACTAGGAAGTAACCACAGTCATTTTTTCCAGGCCCACAAATGGGTCATGGATCCCACAGATAAAATAATCAAAAGGCCATACAGGGTGTTTAACATTCGCAAGCTTTGGTGTCCAGCTTTTCTAATCAGGAGGGAGAATTTCTGACCGAGGCGACTGACTACGGACCACCACACCGGACTGGGTCCTGCTAAAAAGAGGGACAGAACCCCACCAGGTGGTGGAGAGAACATCACACGCCATCGGTCTCCAGAAGGAGAGTGACACCACAACCAGTGCGCCCCTGCAGAGGAGCTGAATCGATCGCTGGACCAGATGGAGGCTGATCTGCTGGAACATCAGGAGTACAGCTCCCCACTACACCTGGAGGAGGTGACAGGACCTTCGTGGGAGCTCACTCTTTGCCCCTTTGTCCTGGTAGAAAAAGGCAGTAGCAAACATTGGAGAAAGAAGTCTCCGCTCTGCCTAAGTCGGTCAGTCAGGTGGAACGGGGAAGGATGGAAGGAAGATTACCAGCCCTGACAGTGAAGAACAGAAGACGCGTCAAACTGATTTTAGTTTTGTCCCAATGCACACACACGTCATTTAGAATGTCTAATCAGACTGATAAAGGTTCTGAGGACTTTGCATGAAGATATCTCCGCGGGCCGAATCCCGCCGAGCACCAAAAGGACCCTTGTGGACGAACAAGGGCTCCCACCGCAAGCTCAAGAACCGAAGACCTGCTAGATAGTCCTGTTTAAATTGAGTGTGTTGTCTTTTTCCTGTTTAACATGAGTGTCTTGTCTTTCCTTTCAGTCATTCTGAAAAACAACCAGAGAAGGGTCGTGGATTCAATTGGAAACTCTTAACTATTCAAAATTTTACTCCATTCAATTGGGCATTTCATCATTCTAAAAATACCACGAGGTATTGTAAAGGTGGTTTAACAGGAGGTCAATTTTGGTATTAGGGTAGAGTTTTACTTATTTTAGTGTGTTGGGCATTTATCTCTTACTAGGAGTGTTGTTGCGTTTTTTGTATTTTTATAAAGGTTTATGCACTTGGTATTTTTTACAGGTTTTGAAGGGTTTGAACCAGGGGTCTGGTCCAGGACCCCTGGAGGGTTGCAGTAAGTTTGGGTCACTTCCATCTGGACAAATCCAAAAGGGTGTGATCTCCCATGAATATGGGGAGATCAAAAGAGGGATTGTTGGATTTCATATTTTTATATCTTTTTATATTTCCTATCAAGCATTCAAATGTCAGGTTATACAAAGTGTGTGCGTGCCTTTCTTCCAGGGTTGAACTATATTTATAGAAAATGTTTACTAATTCTAACTATTTTACCTTTACATATAATCTTATATTAGCTAATGATAATTTTACAAGTTCACATACACACTGATTAACATAAATAAAGCTAGAACACATCTCTTTAATTTAGACTTAATATAGTTTGACTAAATAAAATCCCTCAGGTTCTCTCTTAATAATAACAATTAGCATTTAATCATTTAATCATTGTTGGATACAGGGTTGACACAGGTTTAATAGAGTTTTGCTAGATGTGGGGGCAGGGTGACTTCAGCTGAACTGATACACAAGTATAAGCCAGAGGGATCAATTAAAAACACATAAACATGAGTTAGTTAATAATTAATAGTTATTAATTATTCCTAGAAAGAAACAACTTTAGCTCAAATCATTTGGTGTAAATAAGGTATAATCAAGCTAAACTGAAACTAGAGTGTGAACAGTCTGAACGCAGACGAAGAAACCAAGCCTCCATATCTTATCTCTGGAATGCAGTAAGAGGGGGGCGGGCTAGACCAGTAACCATAGTAACCGGGTCTAAACCAATCAGAAAGCTAGCCTTCTCAAACTTTGATAAAAGCCGGAAATGACACACGCCCAGCGAGCATTTCCGGGGAAGCGCAGACCGAGACGGTTCGTTCTTTAATGCTCCAAATATATGCATATATTTTACAAATGCAATTGTTTGTCTCTGAATACCTGTAACCCTGTTTGTCAAATAAATCTTTTGAACTAAGGTGACCGTCTCAGCTGTTTTGAACACAAGTGTGGCACAAAGCCACTTCACTTCCCTTTTAAAAATCTGTCGTTCTGAGGGGATGGATACTGGCACTCGTTTTTTATTGGAAACAAAGCAACAATATTTTAACAACAACAGGAAACAAAATTTTGTTAAACACATTTATAAGAATAAACTAAACTGGTTGTTAAAGATAAGTTTATATTTTTCTTAGACAAAAAATAATCAGTCATCTTGTAGTTTGCATTTCTAAAACAAATAATTGCTCTAATCTAATTAAAAGGTAAGCACTTGTTGAAGAGAATTAGACTGAGATGTTTTAATGAAGAGAAGAAGGCGAGTTGTGAACGTTTGGGTGGAACTGAACATCCATAAGTACAAGACATCATAATCGGATGTGTTGTGTACGGCTCTCAGCTACAACCACATCAAATTTTAGCCCAATGTCTGCAAAAGTGACCTTGGGCTTTGGCTAATATCTACTAGCTGTGGTAGCCATCTTGAATCACGATGAAGATGGCTACCATCACTTTTATCGACGCAGACAAAAATATTATCGCCTTTGCCCTTTGTGGTGAGCAATAAAGAAGACATTTTTAAATGTGTAAGAATTTAGCAGAAAAATTGTGTTGTAACTAGGGATGCACCGATCCACTTTTTTTACTTCCGATCCGATCCTGATGCCTAGATCTGAGTATCGGCCAATCCAGTTCCAATATCCTGATCATCATTGATTTTATATGAGGTTGTAATAATCTGCTCTCAAGTACAATGTGTACAAATATATACATGCATGTCCAAAAAGGCAACTTGAGGTAAGTTTTATTAATGTTGGACAAGTTTTAAAGTTAGAATTAAATTCTGCTAACTCAAAACATGTTTCTTTTTATTCCTAGTTTTAAAGTGGATATTAAAGTGATTAATTTAAGTGATTGTTTAAAGTTATTTTATATTTTATAAATAAGGGGCAGATATAAGAATTTTCTTCTTTCTGAACTCTTTTCATTCAGTGTTTTCTTTTTGATGATTTTTTATTTTTATTTTGTTTCTTTTAAATGAATGAATAAATGAATAAAACTTTGGAGTAAGTTGTTGGAGGAAGAATCAGTTTTGTTGTGTGTTTCCTTGACTGATGAAGCCTTCTGGATCAAAGGCAAAACATTTCAGCACAAAAAAATAAACTGTCCAGATGAGCTGACTGAAAGATGTTGGATTGTATCCCTGGATTATTGAGCATGGACGTTGTTCTTGACAGGGGAAAAGGGCTAAAACAATTCCTAGAAAGCTGAAGTAGCAAGTACCAAAAAAAAAAAAATCACTTTTCTTAATGAGCTGAATGTTTTGAGAGATGATTTGTTGAAATTGCACAAATAAATAAATATAGGGTTCAGAGGAACAGTTGGGGAACTTCAGCCAAATTAGCAGGATGGGTAATAATCAGTAAATTAAAAAAGTGGAAGGTGATGTTAAATTTGTTTTTTTAGAGGATCAGAAAAACGTAGAAGTTGATTCATGTAAAAAGTTGATGTTCAAATACAAACCAAGTGTGGAAGTGATGAGGAACACATGAACAGACTTGGTTTGGAGGATGTAAAGAAGTGTCTGGAAGTTGCAGAGCCGCAGAGCAGAAAGTGATAGAAGGAAGTGGTGAATCCAGATATCATCCCTGTGTGGAACTGACTGAGTCAGGGCCCAGAGCTGTAGTGATGGATCTCCTGCAGAAAGCTGAGCAGCTGCTAATCTACACATACCTCTTCATATACATTGTACAATCTATTGCAGTCCAGGACCACACACAGATTATGAACAAAAGCTACTGAAAGATGACCACACAACAATAACCCAGCTTGTCAATAATCTGAACATTCTCAGATGAGACATTGAAACAGCTCAAGACTAATTTTACAAGAACGGTTCTAAATCAAAATCTGAATAAATGAAGCTAGAATAAGCTCATTTGTGAAAGTTGACTGGATTTTCTAGAGGTTCAAGATTAACTGCAGTAAGAGGTTAAAGGATATTTAAGATGCATTGTCACTTAGACAGAACCCAACTAAACGACAACAGTTCAAAAAGTTTCACATTAGAAGAGTCAGGAACAGGACCTTAAATAAATTAATTTCTGGACAAAGAGGAAAAGACACATCTGCAAGACAACACTAAAGAAGATGGATGGATAAATAATGAATTAAAATGAGTGACATTTTGTTTGAAACAGCTTATAAGAGATGAATATATCTGTCATTATTTTCTTTGTGTGTTCTTTTGCCACATACGTTTTTAGACATTAAAAATTAACCTTTGAACTGGACTTGGACTGAAACCAGGAAGCTGTCTCTACAAATACCAGCCTCACAGAATCCCAACCTGCCAGGCACCTCTGATCCAGATGTAAAAAACACCTGGAGCATCACACCATCCCCTGACGGACAAGTCATAAAACTGCTGTTAAATGCTAAATATACTCTTTGTCATCCTAAAAAGCATGCCTTCTGATTTAATTCAGGTTCACTGTAGTCATAAGATGATTCTGTGAACCAGCAGGCCTCCTCACGTCTCCTTCCACAGCGGCCGCTCTCACATTGTGCATATCGCAGCGCAGGTATGACACTTACCAAGAGCAGGAAGTAACCTCTGCAAGGCGTTCTTGTTCCTCAGTTTGGCTATGTGCAGGACGTAATACAGCCCCATTTCACAGGCCACTCTGTTGTCCTGCAGGTACCTTAGAGGAGCCAAGAGGAAGAAGGAACAATGACGTGAACATGTGAAAGATTTTAAAATGTTACAGAATCAGAAAAAAACAACCTCCCACCATGTAGAAGAGTATAACAACATATCTGCAAACTAGTGGCTTTTCGGTGAAATTCGCCGATTTCAAACTAAAATACATCATTTACGTGAATCGTGTAGATCTGAAGAGGTTTTACTGGGGGGGGGGTGGGGGCGGGGAGTCATGGTGGATGGCAACATTTCCCTTTAAAAAACAGCGTTCCTCCTCGGTCACTTGGCGTAGTAGGTGCTCCACTCTTGGGGAGACACCTCCGTGTTGCACGTTAGCTTACTGCTATGCTAGTGACATCAGTTGTTGACCGGTGGGGGGTTAGGATGTGAGAGAAACGGAACGTGTTGCATCTTGTCTGTGTTGTGTGCAGCTAGATTTAGCCTTAAGATTAGAAAAGTCCAGCTGATGATGTTCTACAGAACTCCTTGAAGGAGAAAGATGGTGCTAGGGCGAAAGAAGCCAAGTAACACAAGTGTTCTACAAAGTAAAAGTGGTGATGGGAGAGGAATAACGGAAAGAAGAACAACGGGATGAGGAGATGGACGTCATTCCAAGTGGACTGTGAAGGGCAATAAAAGTTATGAGGTGTAGAAACTGTGGCAGGAAGGAACCTGTAAATTATTCAGCTTTCATAATTACAAGCAGGTTGACCAAACTGACTCACAAGTGTTTGTTTGTTTGTTTGTTTGTTTGTCACAGAGTCATTTAGTGTTGTGAAGCTGCACGATGCCAGGTCACTCTGTTATGAGCAGGTCGAATCAGAACTAATCAGAAAACTGTGAAAAGGCCTACATTCACTGCTGCTGCTTATTTCACTGCTCAGTGGCTTATTCATTAATGTTCTTATTTTAAACATGCAGTTCATGTCATCATTGCTTATCACAATGACAAGTTGTGTTACCAATAAAACTACCTGTAAATCTAAAATAAATAAAAGTCAAGTGCGCCCCTAAAGTCATTGTTTGTGATAAATTGTGTCATTAATTTCGTTATCTGAGTCATAGGAGTGAGTTTAAAAACAGGAAGATGAATAAATGGACTAGTTGAATGAGGCGTCTCTAAAATATCCTGATGCATGCTCAATAATTTCAACAATTATTTTATTTTTTATCCGTCCAGAGGACCTGATTTAGTTTTGTTAGAAGTGTCTAAAATAGTTGTTGAATCAAGTGTTTACATCTGATGATAAAGTAGGTGTTTAACAACCTGTTTAAATACACCAGAATGCAGGAAATGGCATCTATTTTATTCTAAATTTTCTGGGGGAGGACCCCCCACCCCCACCAGTGTGTCCCCCACACTACACAAGCTTCTGATGCCAACAGGCACAAAGAGGCGCATGGCCAAGCACTGGAAACCGGCCTTTTAAAGTCTTGTCCAGGCCAGAACATTTAAGGAATGACTTTTTGCTGTATTTGGTTTCTCTGCTGGGCTAGCTGCTGTTGTTGCTTGTTGATATAATTATTTTTTGTTGACGCCATCTTTCATATGTATGCCCTAAATTAGGAGATGTTAGTAAGATGCTGGTGAAGATTCTCAGTCATCCAGGACACGATGAACTCAAAAAGCTTTCAATACAAAAACAACTGGACTTTATTTGTAACAGAAGACGTGTCACACGCTCCTCATCCGAGGAGCTTTCTCAGTTCAAACAGCAGAGAGTGAGAGATACAGGTTATAAGGCTGAGTGAGATAAGACACACACACATGTAGATTGACTAATCACACCTCAACACTTTGAAAGTAGGGCCTTCTTAAAGTCTTTGTTCCTCTAATTCACAGACGAGGCCCCTCTGTTCCCATCAGGTGTGAGAACTGGCTGGGAATCAGTCTTAAAGTTGCATTATAGTTGTACGCTCCACACTAGGGCATTAACAGAGTACTCGAGTAATCTACACATCGATTGCTAGAACATCTATCGAGGTTAAAAATGTAAAGTCGGGTAGCCGTAGTGACGTCATATTATGTGACCACCGTATGACCGTAGGGGGCGGTGTTGCACTGTTGCAGGTCACAGAGTATGGTGTAACACCGGGTCCAATCCACCGAACCAGAACCAGTTTCGGTTTAAGTTTCGTTTTTGACGTGCTGCATGTTTCTTCATGTTTGCAGTTTAATAATAACTAATAGTTTAGTTTTTCCTGTGATTTATTTACATTATGATAAATGGTAAAAGCATAATATACGCTCCCAATGTTTTGTTGGTCTTTTTTTTGTAAATAATTACAGTTTTTTGCGGTTTTATTTATTTATTTTTGTATCTTGAGATCTATGACGTCATCAAATACTCGAGTTCTACTCAGGTTTTATTATGTTAATGTCGAGTTTAAAAATTATATACTCGTTCAACCCCTACTCCACAATGGTTTGTCGTCATTATCTGCATCGTTTTTATGTCTATATTCTGATTTACCTCATTTTGTATTTTGCTTTGTGTGTTAACTGTTGTTCTGTCTGTACAGCACTTTGGTTGGTCTTGTAGCTGTTTTAAGTGCTTTATAAATAAAGTGGTGTGGTTTTATAGAGTCAGAGTTTCTTTATTGTCATTCGCACCTCATGTGGTACATGTGGTGGAGCGAAATTATGTCCACAGGGTCCCAGTTACATCCAACAATAAAATATATATAAAAAAAACAGTAATAACATCTAAGATATGAACTAAGAAAAACATCAACTAAATATACACTAAGCACTCATAACATAAAAACAATACGTTGAACAGCAGCACAAACATGAGTGTGTGTGAGCCGATGAGCACGCATGAACACAATGACATGAAACAGATGAGCAGCAACATTGAAACAGATGAGCAGCAACATTGAAACAAATCAGCAGCAACATTGAAAAAAATCAGCAGCAACAATGAAACAGATCAGCAGCTACATTGAAACAAATCAGCAGCAACATTGAAACAGATCAGCAGCTACATTGAAACACATCAGCAGCAACATTGAAACAGATCAGCAGCAACATTGAAACAGATAAGCAGCAACATGAAACAAATTAGCAGCAACATGAAACAGAGCAGCAGCAACATGAAACAGATCAGCAGCAACATGAAACAAATCAGCAGCAACATTGAAACAGATCAGCAGCAACATGATGTGATTTTTCACAGTGATTATTCTAGTTAGAGATTCATGAGTCTAACAGCTTCAGGGTAGAAGCTGTTCCTCAGTCTAGTGGTTCTACACTTAATGCTCCTCAACCTCCTTCCTGAGGGGAGTGGGGCAAAAAGTGTGTGTGCTGGGTGAGTGGGGTCCTTCATGATGCAGGTGGCCCTCTTCCTGCATCTGGAGGTGTAGATGTCTGTGATGGTGGGGAGGCTGATTCCAACATCTTCTGTGCAGCCTTCACCACTCTCTGTAAAGCTTTTCTTTCTGCAGCTGTGCAGCCTCCATGCCACACGTTGATGCTCGAGCACAGGATGCTCTCCACTGCACACCTGTAGAAGGAGGTGAGGACTGAGCTTCCCAGACCAGCTCGTCTCAGCCGTCTGAGGAAGTAGAGTCTCTGATGAGCTTTCTTCATCAGGCTGGTGGTGTTGTTGCTCCAGCTGAGGTTGTTGTTCATGTGTACACCCAAGTACTTGTAGCTGGAGACCACTTCCACTGCTTCATATGTTTTTGAAAGTGGAAATCTGAGGCCTCCTCCTCTGTTAAGAGACGGCTTTTCTCTTTTTACATAAATTGCTTCCTTCACCCCCCTCTCAAACCATCTGTGTTCTCGGTCCAAAAAGTGCACATTTTGGTCCTCAAAGAGTGTCCCTTCTCTGTGAGGTGGAGGTGAACAGCTGAGTCTTGTCCTGAGGAGCTGGATCTCCTGTGTTGAGCCATGCGTCTTTGAAGAGGCTGTTTAGTTTCTCCAATGTAGAGGTCTGGACAGTCCTCGCTGCACTGGACCACATACACTACACTACTCTGTTTGTGTATGGGTGTTTTGTCCTTAGGGTGGACCAGTCTCTGTCTCTTAACAGAGGAGGCCTCAGATTTCCACTTTCAAAAACATATAATGCAACTTTAAGACTGATTCCCAGCCAGTTTTCACACCTGATGGGAACAGAGGGGCCTCGTCTGTGAATTAGAGTAACTAAGACCTTAAGAAACCCCTACACTTCCGGGAAGATGGTGCCACTGTGCATGACCTGCCCTCCACCTCTGTCTGCAGTGATTGTGTTTTTTCTGTTTTTGTCATTTTTCACCTACAACATCAATTACTGCTGGTTTATGAACGTCATCAACTCCTAAATCTCCGACTATCTGCCACCAGTCTCACTTTGTTTGATCATAATGATCGTAACTCTGGACCCCCTCTTGGACCCCCACCTCTTTGTACAGAACGTTGCAGGACCAACTCACCAGCATGGCCGCACAATGGATTTAGTTTTAACCTATGGTTTATCTGTTTCTGAGTTAGAAGTTGGGGATGCAGTTTTCTCTGACCACAAAACGTTGGTTAAGTACTGTAACCCCAGATTCTATGAATATAGGCGTAGCCCTTTAAGGCTGTCGCTGATGGGTTTTATCCCGATATGCGAAGCATTGCACTGAAAAATTTAGTCCACGCCCACCTGCTGTGTGGACCCCACCCGGTCCGTATAAATTACGTTAAGAACAGGTAATCGGCTCCCAAATAGCTTTTTCTTTAGCCATTTAGGAGCCAATGTGGCCAGACGCTTAAAGGGCTACGCCTATACTCATAGAATCTGGGGTTACAGTACGTAACCAACGTTCTATTTCGTATAAGCGTAGCCCTTTAAGGCTGTCGCTGATGGGTTAAGGGCAAAGCAGATGTTGTCCTCGCCTCACTGGGTCCATTCGAACACCGTATGAAGCAGAAGCTTGCCCAAAAAACGTCTTGTCACTCAGCTCTCCATGTGCGTAATTACGCATTGCGTAATTATGTGTGCCATGCACAGATGCATGTTGTGTAACTATGCA